GAAATGCTGCTGTAAAGTAATCTTTTATTACAGGAGAGGTCAATCACCCCTGGGGATTTTCCAGGAACTAGAGGCTTGGTTCCACTTCATTTAAATCACCCTGAAGATTTATCTACTCTGTCCAGAATCCAGATACAATTTTACCCACCATGGTTGTTGGAACACTGGTATCAGTTAGTTCTGAACAAAAGTATGTCACTGGTAAAATTGACTTTAAGGACAGATATTCAGGAACCATGAATCAGGAATATCAAAAGTCTTTCAGGAGTCAAGTATCTCTATTCATGATATATGTATCATCATACAGTTTATAGTCTGATATAGAATTTTGACTTGCATTGATATCAAACTTAGTTAACCACCTTGTAAACTCGGCCATACATTTTTTTTCCAAATCAAGACAGATATTTTTTCATATATTATATTCCAAAACATTTCTCATTCTAAAGTTTCTGAACAGCAGTTAAATAAGCTCAACTTCATCAGAAGGCTGGAATGGAATTCTGCAGAATCAAATGAGTGGGACTCATTTAGTAAAACATAAATTATTATACAGTCATCTCATCTATTTGGGGCTTCAGTTCCCTCTGAATGGGCCAATGGTTATTGATCCTTTCCAGTGTGTGCATACTTCTCCTTGATCATAGAAAAGACAGAAGTAAAAAGACTTGAGTAACTTTGCTTTAGCTCTCTATCCTTTGCCATTATATCATTAGTCCCAGGGGGTGAGCCTGTGCTACAGATAGACTTGAGCATCATCCCCAAAAAATAGAAGGTGGAGTGCAGGATTAGTTATACACATGAAAACTATGGATGCTGATGAAATACATTTGATGATAAGTTTATAATTACCTTTATTATTTAATATTTTAAGATTTATGTATCATTTTTGATAAATTAATTACTGATTTGTTTTGCCTTTATAGTTTCAGGTAGCTAAGCCTTTTATAAATGAAGCCTATAGCCTCCTCTGACATTCATATATTCTTTTCAAATAAGAATATATGAAATATATGAGGGTTCTTTCCTACCCACCCAGTAAGCGATCACTTTACTAGTAAAGTGATCGCTTTGCTTTAACTCTTTACCTTTTTACATTTTTTTTTTTACTTTACTAGTAAAGTGATCGCTTTAGTAAAGCTCTTTACATTTTTTTTTACTTTACTAGTAAAGTAAAGCTCTTTACATTTTTTTTTACTTTACTAGTAAAGTGATCGCTTACTAAGTGGATTAGTAATCCACTTTCCCTACTATTTCACAAAAATTACAACACATTATCCGTGAATAATATATTTTAAAATAGTATGCCTGGGTAGTATATTACAATCAGCAAGCACTTTCACATTTGATTCTAATAACAATTTTATGAAGTAGGTATGATATTGTGAAATAGCTATTTGGTCTTCTTCCCTGTTTCCTGGCATACAACTCTTAAAATATTTGAACTTTCCAAAGTGATAAATGTATTTTTGTATACAAATGATTTGAACTTTCCAAAGTAATAAATATATTTTTTTGTATGCAAATGAATTGATTGAGGACTGGCACCCCCTAGGTAGCTTCAGGAGGGGAGCTACTCACTGGAAAAACCAAGGCAGGATTAGAGGGTTGGGACTTTAAGCCCTACATTTTTTTAGGGGAGAGAAGATGAAGTTGATAGCCTGTGATGAATGATTTAATCAATCATGCCTATGTAATAAAGCTTCCATAAACCCCAAAAGGACTAGGTTCAAAAAGAGCTTCCTGATCACTGAACATGTGGAGGTTTTTAGAGAGGACATGGAGGCTCTGTGCCTTGCCCTATGCGTCTGTTCCATCTGGTGCTCATCTGAATCCTTTGTAATATCCTTTATAATAAACCAGTAAATGTAAGTATGTGTCTCCCTGAGTTCTGTGAGCAGCTATAGCAAATTAATTAAACCCAAGGGGGAGGTCATATGAACTTCAATTGATAGCTGGTTGATCAGAAGCACAGGTGCAACAACCTGGGACTTGTGACTGGTGCCTGAGGTCAGGACAGTCTTGTGGGACTGAGAGTCCTCAACCTGTGAGGTATAATGCTATCTCCAAGTAGATAGTGTCAGAATTGAATTGGAGGACACACCGCTGGTGTCCACTGATCACTTACTGGGGGGGTAGTGAAAGAACCCTCACACACCTAGGATCACAGAAGTGTTCTGTATTGTGAGAGTATAGAAGCAACTGAGTTAGTTTTTCCAATAGCCTCAGTAGGTCAAATCAGGACTTTTTCAGATGGCCTTCAAGACAACTCAGTCAAAATGTACATAGTTGTTTTTTAAAAAATTTACCATTAAAGTATGCAGCAAGAATTTCTGATTCTTGCTCTATCCCTTATTCCTATTATCAGTACGATAAGTTTAATTTTCTACTTTGTTCATGTATTTACTCATTGGAATTTTTTAAAATGAGCTATTTTTTGATCAAAAGCAATACAGATTTTCTTAAGTCTGTTAGAACTGAATTAACTTCTAAAGGGTTACTAATTCTGTCTCCCAAATCCATCATTGTAAATGAGGTTTTTTCAGTAGTAAGCATAAAGTATCTCTATTACTGTATGAAACAAAAGAACTGTTGGAAATATAATTAAGGATTCTCTGAACAAATCTGGAGTTAAGAATAAGGAATCAACTCTTAATACCCCATCCACTAATGTTCGAAGGGTGGCATGATCATTAAGGATGCGGAATACAGATATTAATCCCTTGGATTTTCAAGTGCAAAATAGGGTAAATGCTCTTACTACCTAGAAAGACATATTTATATTTATTTCTTAATCAAAAATAGATTAGTATGATCATTGTCCTCATAAAGGAGGAAAACAAATTAGAGATAACGATCATGTGATGCACAAGTGAGCTGTCAGAGAAGTAGAAATCTTGGTGACAATGATTAATAAGCCTTTCTGAAGGGAACAACTGTGGTCAACACCTGCTTCACAGTTAGATGTGGTTTGTCTGCCAGATAGTGCTTAATCTCATTTCTAATATACTATGCCTAAGCTTCAAGCTCTCTGTCCCTCATACCCAGAGAGGGGAAATAGTGATGAATGAGGCTCAGATACTGGGTGAAGGTATCAGTTTTACACACAAATTGTAGCCAAACTGTATCATGAAAGCTGGCTCAAAGCACTGTATATCCAAGAAATGTGAAGAACAGTTATGGTCACCATTTTATGGATAAGGAAATTTTTTTCTTCATCTCAATCTCTTACTTTATTTAATAGGTCACTTCTTGGTTGTAGCAGATATTTACAACATTCTGTGTGTGCTGACATGAATGTGTGTGTGTGTGTCTGTGTGTGTGTGTGTGTGTGTGTGTGTAATTTATATTTTAACATGAATCAAAGCTGACTGGATGATCTCACTTAACACCTATTCTCTGTTCACACATAAGGTTTATTCAAAGTGATACTGTTAATATTAGTGAGTTATTGATCTGATATTTTACCAGGCTATTTAACATGTCCTATATTTCTAATTAAATTTTAATTGATTCTTGAGGAACATCATTAAAATGAGCAAGGATCAGATTTGAAACGTCTGCACTTAGCACACAAGTATAAATGTAAATATATAATAACGAAATGTAAAGCTTTTAAGGGTGATTTTCAGCTTTTTGAACTTCCCTCCACCATAAAAAATCTAAAGATTCCCTTAAACTCACTCACGGCTAGCATTCTGAAGTGTTTTTTGATGTTTACCCCTAGAAGATTTATTAGATGACAAGATACAGAACAATTTGAGAATTTACCTAGCAGTATAATATAGCAGATAAGAGCTTAGACTCTAATATGAATCTCCACATATTAAAATCCCAGACCCATCATTTACAGGTTATTTAACTTTGGAAAGTTTTTCAAACTCTCCATGTTTGTGCCTCAGTTTCTCACCTATAAATCTTCATAAAGTCACTTCGAGGGTGAAATAATGATAATCCGCATAAAATTCCTTGAACAGTGCCTGGAGAATAGTGAACAGTAAATCATAACACTTTGTTCACTGGGCAGAAAAAAAAATGCTGTTAGCCCCCTGGATGACATTCTTTTCCTCTCTGGGAAGAGAATACATATACACGTTAGGAAGATACTTTTTACTAAAGTCACTTTCAGTTATTATTTTGGATTTAAGTGGTGCTGAAGTATATTGCATAGCAAAATCTCAGGGTAAGTAGGCATTATAATCAAAATTTCAAGTAGTAATAAATGTTCTAAACACATTTAAATCTCATTATGTCAGTTAAGGCACCTCTCCGGACTTGCAGTTCCCTTAATAACTAGATGTAAAAAAGGCAATCAAATGCAATGTTTTCTGGGACACATATAAGGGCAGGAGAAATCCCTTTGCAAAAATGAAAAATAGTAGATGTTAATACCACAATGCAAAGCACATGTGGAATCTTTAGATTTTTCTTGACCATCCACCTTTCTATACAGCAATTCAATCATTTAGACAATTCTCCTTCAACGTATAATAGAAAAGAACACGAGATCTTGAGTAAGATAAAGTCCATAAATTAGACAAAGTTGCTATAAAGAGACCCCTTAGCAATCTTCCTTAACTGCAATTATTAGCTGGGTTTTGCAAAGAATGCAAATTTATCTGTGAAAGTTGGTGTTATCACTAGACTAATACTCATTATTTTGGTCTGGGAATCCGGAATGATAGTACTTATGCTGGTAACTACCTTTGATCGCTTAAGAACCATAAAAAAGACACTTTCATATAACATTTGTGACTTTTTTTCTCTAGCAAGTTATTGCATGTGCATGTCTTGGTGAATTTTTAAGCCCAGGCGCTTGGAAGATCTGGCTTCATCCCTGACATTCTGCATTTCTGCTCTTCACAGACTCTTTTACCTACTGGGAAGCCTTGTAGCTATCTCCGTGGCAAGGCAGGGCCTTTCCTGGCATGCAAACCTGCTAGGTGAATCCGCCCCTCAAGGGCGTGTCAGTACCATTTCCTGGAGCAATGTCACAGGGTGGCTCCATTTTCCATTTGAGCTCAAATATTTTGCTGCTTCCTCTGCAGCTGCCAGACCTGCTCTTGCTGCTGCTCAGGTAGCTTTCTTCTCTTCCTGGCACCACTATGGGCAGAGGTTTTGGATAAGTGGTTTCTACACGTGTGTTGTTTGTCTGCCTGCCCGCCTGCTTGCCTGCCTTTTTTTTCCCCCCATTATATTTCTCTGTTTGTTCCTTAGGGAGAGCGACTGGTAGGTCCCTTGCTGACGACTGAAAGAAGATGAGCTCGAGCTATTGGAGTGAGACCAGCAGCAGCAGCTGTGGAACCCAGCAGCTCCCAGAGGTGCTGCAGTGCCAGCCCCAGCATTACCACTGCTACCATCAGTCTAGCCAAGCCCAGCAGCCTCCAGAAAAAAATGTAGTGTATGAGCGAGTGAGGACCTACAGTGGGCCCATGAACAAGGTGGTGCAGGCCTTGGACCCCTTCAACTCAAGGGAAGTGCTCTCCCCTCTCAAAACTGCCTCCTCCTACCAAAATTTGGTTTGGAGCGACCACTCTCAGGTACAACAAAGACAACTACGCTGGGCTAGTGGAGAAGGGCAATCTTCAACCTGATTTCTCTTCCTTTCTGCTTCTTTGCCTCTATCCTACAGGATATTTTTTTGGTGGATTGCAGTTATATTTACCTTGGACAGTCACCCAAATTCATCTCTTAGCTGTTATTTCATTTACTAGTGTCTATGTTTGTTTGTTTTGGGGTTTCAATGATTTCGTAATCTAACCATAGATAGCATAGGAAGGCTCATTTTCTGTTTGGTCTGATTGAAAGCTCTGATCCAAAGAATCCTTTTGCCCGTGCTGCAAAGCAATTCTCAAGTTGAGTACAGTTTGTTTTTAAAACAAGTTCTTACTGATTCACTTCATATCAGAAGCAAACAGGTTTTTTTTTTGTATCAAATATGGTGACACAGGTATAGTGGTATGTCTGAGTGATAAGCAATTATTTGTGCTCAGCAAAGAGTATGCTGCTCCAGGATAAGTGAGAGGTGTAAATATCTGAATTGTCATATGTGTTTTCTCTTCCAAGAATGTCACACTGATTGTTGTACAGCCTAGGTGAATAATTTATGGAATACTTATAGAAAGATTACTGTGAGAATGAATATAGGACTGAGGAAGAGAAGATGTAAGCAACTGTTACATGAAAGCTACAAAAGATGGAACTCTAAGACATCCCATAAAATGAAATAAATTTGTTTCTTCAGAGTTATCCTTAGCATCAATATCTGTGTTAATAACTTTGTCAATAAATACAAGGGAACACTGTAAGATAGATTTATGTGTATTTTCATCTTCTGATAACTTTTACATTCAATTTGCATGTTTTAAGCTTTATGGAAAATTCTGTCCAAACTGAAATTATGCTTTTAAGATATGAAAATCTCAAAAAGCAGTAATTGGGATATGATGCTATGCTACATTATTATTACCAATCAGGAATAATAAATTTAAGTAGAATATAAAGTACCATTTCTCAACTGCATTATAGAACTATTTTAAAAATAATTATTTAAAGATATAGATAACCCCCAAACTCCAAATGCCACAACTTCGCTCTTCTATTTCAACCTTACCTTTATTTCAGAGAAAAATATTTTTTAAAAATTTTGGATTTACCATCAGTAATTTCCTGGTTGAGCAAAATTCCACTTGTACTGTGGTCAAGGAGAAGAAAAATACAAAGGTCAAAAATACTAGTTTGTATGAATGATCAAAATAATGCAAATGTACATCCCAATATTCATATTGAGATGCTAATGCAGAACAAAATGAACGTTGCCTTTGTTTTACTGTAGCTCAAAAACAATAATGTGAAGATTAAAAACAATTACTATTATCATAAGAATGCTAAAATCATCGTATTTGCCATAGTTACTTAAACATATTTAGAAACTTTTTTGTCAACTTGCTAGTAAAAGAAAGTAAATAGACATTTAAATGCTGAAATTTCACAAATTATAAATACTAGCTACAGAGCAATTTTTAGGAATATGTTTTATTGTTTGCTCCTTGGTTCAAATTCCCCTTTCAATAACTCAGGACCAAGTTGGTTGCACTTTTTACAAGATTTTCCTTATTTTACCTGGCATTTGCCAAAGTGATCCTTACAAATAGACTATCTCCATCCTAAAATGCAGTTCGCCATAGAGGAGTTTATAAAGAACCTTAGGGGTAGAAGGTGCAGCCGCAGAAACTAGGATAGATGATTAGAATGGAGGACTCTGTGAAGTCTGAAGTTATTTATGACAGAAAAGTAAGTGCTGGGAGCAAATGAGAAAGGTGAAAATTAAGCTATGAGCTAAAAGGAAAAAAAGAAGTATTAATTCCTCAGTGAAACAAGAAGAGAGAATATTTGACTACAAATTTTCAGACTGAGTTGGATGTCAAAGGGCATTCACAAATCCACAAAAGACAATTTGGCAAGATAGCTACCACAAGGAATATGACTAGAAAACATTTCTATTTTATTTTCCTTTCTCCCTGTTTATTGATGGAAGGCCATTGTGGCATCATGTAAAGTAAGACCTAGATTTGATCTGAAATTACCTTTATGCTGACGAAATGAGTATAATGTGATGGCAGCTTTATTACATACCATGACAAGCATGAGCAACAGTACATATTATTCAAAAACCTTTCATTCACTTCATGTTTTAATAAAGTATCTTCTTAATAAGCCATGTTTCAGATGAGCTGATGTGTAACAATTAGTCTAATACCAATGTTTGTGACCAAGGCAGCTAGAAAAATGAATATTACAATTAACTGTTGATTATCATGAACTCAGTTAAACTTTTACATTTCTTTTGTTTTGTTTTGTTTTGCCTTTTGGTGCTTGGATGACATGCAGGGAATTCATGAGATTTTAAAATAAATATTATCAGTAGTAAAATATGTTGCCTTTGAGAAACGAAAATTGATGCTACTCTGCTTTGCTTCCTGAATCATAATTTTAGGTCATGTAGTAGACATTTTTTATTTAATCAAATGTTTTTTGTAGCACTTTAGTATTTTCCATTTCCAGATTTTGAGTACATGCTTTTCTTCTCTTAACCTCTTGTGCACTAAAATGGTGTTTATGGATATAAACATATTTTAGATTTCTCCAGATATATAATGTTACTTTGTTTCTTTAAAAATATATTCTATGTTTTTTGGGTATGATTTTGTTTGATTGATAGGATTTTTCTTAGAGAAAATTAAATGTAGAAATGAGTTGCTAGTGAAATTTTCTAAATTAATCGTAGAATTAAAATTACTGGGTTTATCTACATGAGCAGGTATAGTCAAACACAGGTACAATCAAGATCTCAGATGCGTTTTAGAACTGAATGTGGTCTTGCAAATAAATGGAGTTTTAGAAGCTTAAAATAAAACAAAAATTCTTAGTTCAATCTTTTAAAAAGCTTAGCTATTAACCTACCATCATTAACTCAAAATGAAATGCCTTAAATGGGCAACGTTGATACTAATTATTCATTGGCCTTACATTTTTTCCTTCCACTAGTTTAGGCTTTTATAAAGTTCAAGATATCTTTCATGTATACAGAGGAGCTCTGTTGTGAAAGAGAAAAATGGATTAAAATAAAATATTTTAAACACCAGTCATTCACTGAATACATGTTTATTAACTGCCTATTTTTTAGCAAATACCATGATTCTCTGGATAAATACCATGAACCTGTCCAGGGAGCGTTCATTTTTAGGACAGACATATGGAACCTGGTCTGTAGGTGTCCCATGCATCTATTTATATTTCTTTTTAAAGGGTTATTTTGTGTTGTGGCAGCAGTATTTTATCAAGTAAAGTATGTTTTTGTGAGAGAAGGACTATTTTAGTGTATATGTTATAAGGGTTGCCATTCTTTTGAATTTGAAACTTGCAAACAAATCTAACTCTAGAGAGCAGTCTGGGGGAAAATGTGTGTTTATGAATGGTCTCTGTTCTCAACAATTATTCAGCTGGGGTTAACCCTTGTTTATATGATTTTTTGTGCTTTTTCTTTGGTTGCAAAGATTGTGGATAACTCCTCTACTGTTCTAGGATTTCTATACACTATCAGAAAAGTTTCCTGTTCTGTGGGGAGTGGTGTGCTGCTTTGATAAATTGTTGTTCAAGGGCGTAGTCACTGAAGTGAATGATTGTTCAGGGAAGTAGGTAGCCTGAAAAAAGAATGAGGTCATGGGATAAATGGGTTGCATTTTCAGCTTTGGTCATCCCTTTTGTGCTTACATTTAAATGAAGCTATAGAAATTGGAGTGAAAATGCCCATGGCAATTGTATCTTGTTTAAGGGAGGTCTGATAAATTGCTAGGCCTGTTTTCAGTCAAAGGCACTCATAAGCTCTCGCTCTGTGTGTATGGCAAGAAACGGGGGTGGCAAGTGGAAGAGAGAGAAACTGTCCTTTCAAGTTTCTCTTCTTCGCAATTCTTCACAAAACAATGGGGGGATTTGCCATGCTCTTAATCCCTATTTAAAAGTTAAAACTTTTATAATTAAATATATTTCAGTCAACTTTTTCTTAACACCAGGAGCTATCCCACTAGAGGTCCTTTTCTGATTTTCAATAAAGTATATATAGTCATAATTTTTAAAGATAGAAAGTATGCACTGCGAAAACACTGTGTATTTTATTTTCTCTGTCTCTTAGTTTTCTTCAGAGAAAGAAGAGAAAAAAACCCAGGAATGGGTCTCTTAAGTGAGGGATTTGGGATGGTGAGAAGGAGGAACAAGAAGTAGTTCTATTATACATTTGGTTGCTTTCTTTATATGACAACAGAAACACAGATTTTATCCTAAATAAAGCGTTTATTTCATCTAAAAAGAGATTATTATAAATTACATGTTTCTTTCTGTATGAAGTTCAGTATAACATCTCAACAATAACCTCAGGCAGGCGTTTAACTATGTTACATGGCTTTGAAAGATTTTAACAAAAACATCTCCCATAGTATCAGGGAATGTATTCAAATTGAGGTTTGCCTTGACAAATTCTGTCAGCATAAATGTCAGGTGATTTTTAAAGGTATTGTTTCTTTTGAAACTGTTCAGCCTAGACTGTTTGTAACTCACTATTATTACCTTCAGTGATTCTCACAGTTATTGGGACTAACAGTAGCATATGTAAGCCTTCCATGGTTTTCCTTCTTGGAATATTATACTGTATATTAGTCTTTATGTAAAGTTTTAAAATTCAAATTAGACACATAAAAGAGTTACACATTCATTGTAACAAGTTTCCAAATATTTAGAAACAAAGCCTGCACTATGTATGTAATATTCTCTATGATCTAATTCTCATTGCCTTCAGTCTCTCTTGTATGTCTTACACCAGGCTTTTGAGCTCTTTGACCAGAGAAATCAACAGGAAAATAAAGCCAACAGGTCTTTACTGAAGAGATACATATTTTGCAGTCTAAAGAGCAATTGCAGAGAAAAATCTTATGAAGAAAATGCCTGAACAAGTCTATGTGGAATGTCTTAGGAAGAGCTGTAAATA